TGCTAGTTTCAACACAGCTTTGAAAATGCTAAGTTGATTTTTACTTATTACTAAAATAAGTAAAAAGCAACTTTTATTAGTAAAAAAATCTCCTTAGCAGCTTTTTCACACTCAAAAAAATAAAAGATTTTTTCAATGTCGTTTCTTTTTCTGTGTCCAGTAATTGATTTTTAAATGTTAAACAAATAATTGTATATATTATGATGCAAAGTATGTATACCGTTAATTTTTAACGAACTTATTTAGTGACACTCTACTTATTTTCTAAGGTTACTTAAAATTTAAAGTAATAAAAGTGAGTTTTGGTAGAAACATTTGTATCATATATATTCCGTTAAGCCAAATTGATATTTAATATTTGAATTGGAATCACTGAGATATTACTATATACTTTTCAGTTTTCATCTTAAATTTTATATTTTATGATGTGAAACTTAAAAACTAGTATACACACATGGCCAGAAAAACTGAATCACAGAAAAGGGTATATATTACAAAAGTAGACTTCCCTACCAGCCGTGACCTCTGGATACCTATCTCTCTTCTTCAGAAGAGAGTTCCACTTTCTGGAGTATCCTTCAGAGACCTGGGTGTTCATTTATAATTTGACAAACTCAACATATTATTGATTTATATTTGACAAGAGGTCTACTATCACCTACAGATACAATGTCCATCTTTAAAATGCCTGTCTGAGAGGTGAATTAAATACACACTTTGTCCAAATGCCAAATTTAGCAGAAGTAGGCATTCAGCTGAAACTGAGATCAAAGAGAAATTATCTTCACCAAAGACGGAACTTCTGGGATATATGAATACATCTGATATTAACAAAAATTAGAACTATCATTTTTTATAGTTTGCATTTTAAAAGCTTGATTGATATTCTATTACAAAACCAATGATGTTTCGTTTTTCTAGTCATATTTTAATGTGGCAAAGTTGACACATTGCTTTTGAGTCTTCCTCTCAAGATGTAAAGAATTGCCAAATAAAACTTTAAAAAAAGATTTATGAGATAAATGGAATTAAATTCATGTTAACATTATACATTCTAGTTCACAAAATAATTCTTCAATAATTATAGAATTATGATATAATTTAATCTGAATCTTTTTTATATTTTTTCAAAAACTAACTCAACACACTCAATATTTTTCTATATATGTGAGTATTTACTAGTTTTTTAAACATAAAATTAACAGCATTCACAGGTAGCTTGGCAGGGTTTTATACCTGCAATGATAAATGTACATCTAAACTTGAATTCACTGATGAAATTTTAGCACATAAAGCACCAAATAAGTTTTTTTTTTTTCACCCAAGTTACAAATGGAAAACTTTGTGATATTTGAAAGGGAATACTGACATGGTAACAATTTTGTCTGACATGGATTGTTCATATTGCTAGTGTTGTTGCTACAATTACATACAATAGTAATCTATGCAAGCAGAGGATCATTGATTAAGCAGTAAATCCAGGATGCCAGAAGTAGGCATTTGGCTACTTAGACTTCCATAAGCATAGAATGAAGCCAAAGCCAAATAGCTAATTTTGGCTGAATACTGAGCCCAAAGACTATCTTCAGCACAATTCTAACTCAGCCTAAAAACATTATTATATTTTTTTTCAATACATTTCATTTTTAATTGTTATTCAGCCACTCTTATTCCCAGATTCTCTCGTTCTATAATACGTTAATTCAGAAGAATCCTGGCTAGAATCTAGCATTCCCTGTTTGGTCTTTCAAATTGGTAATGAAAATCTTGTCTTTTAAGTAACTCTTATAAATTAAAAAATATGTAAAAACTTGGAGTGACAGAAAATCATCACCACATGTATTCCTATCCATATAGTCACAGTAAATGTGTGAATATATTGTGCATTACAGTATACAAACATTTATCGGATGTCAAAAACATATTAATGTTTAAAATTAACTTCATCTTTCCTAACCAATAGACAATGATACTGGTTTTAAAATGTTTCACTAAATTTCATTACCAGATAATATATAAACTATGTTATTTTTATATTACATAGATTTATAATCAGTATATTATTCAAGATGGAACTATAAATCCATCCTTTCTATTTATGTATGTATATACCTATATACCCATACTTATGTATATACCTATCATCAGTCTGTATAAAACCAAACATATACTTAGGAGATGGAAGTTTACTTGCCTAACTAAAATCCAAAATTATAGTAATATTAATGATTATCTTAAATGATTAATATTTAAAATAATTTACACTAAGATGATAAACAAAACTTTAGAGAGGTATGTAGATAAATCTGCTATTCTACCAAAATTCTTATAATTTTATTTCTCATTGTTACATACATATATTTTAATATAATTTAAGAAGCTGTAACTCTAAAAGTAGCATGAAGAAGTTGTGCTAAATTATAGGGATAAATAAAATATGACATAGTTTTAGGTCGGGCGCAGTGGCTAACGCCTGTAATCCCAGCACTCTGGGGGGCCGAGGCAGGCGGATCACTGGAGGTCAGGGGTTCGAGACCAGCCTGGTCAACATGGTGAAACCCTGTCTCAACTAATAATACGAAAATTCGCCAGGCATGGTGGTGGGCACCTGTAATTGCAGCTACTCGGAAGGCTGAGGCAGGAGAATCGCTTGAACCCAGGAGGCGGAGGTTGCAGTGAGCTGAGTTGGTGCCACTGCACTCTAATGTGGGTGACAGAGTGAGACTCCTCAAAAAAAAAAAAAAAAAAAAGACACGGTTTTAAAGACACAATGAGAACATCGTCCATCATTGCACATTAATCCTACTTAGTTTTCATATGGCTATTTTTCAAGGCTAATCAATCAACCAACCAAAAACCTGGTGCAAAGTGAACTGGAAACTGATAATAAAAATATTCAAAATACTTTTACCTTAACCTCTAACTAAGGAAGAAATGATTCAGGGCTTAGACTGTACAACAATTTCCCATTCTAGTTTTGGGATTCCAGCACAGTACCATAATGTTAGGTTCCTTTACTGTAGCTAGTGTATTCAACATACAATGAGCGTCCACAGTGATACTTTTCACACTTAATCATCTAAATCGTAAAAAATAAGATGCAACAGAAACTTTGATCAGTGAACCAACTACATTTGTGGCCCTACAATTATTCAAATGGATTTTTTTAACCTATATTAATGAAAACATAGTTTAGTGATTTCATCTTTTTTCCTTTTTAAAATATAAATTTTCTGCTCAAAGACAGATGTCTTCAGATTTACTTTCCTTTCCCTAAATGTTTGCCATTTTCTCATTTTATCTCTCATATATCTTATCAAGGATAAAAACAGAAGAAAAGGGAGAAACAAGGATTCTATGAAAATAAATTTTAATTTTAATTTCAGGTAATTTCTATTTGAAAACTATTAGAATGATTATATCATTATAAATTTCATTGTTAAGAGAGATGTTTTTTGCTTGTTTTGAAATAATGTGGTTTCACAATATGTTTTAAACAAGTTACATTGTGTTTCCATTAGCACCTATTTTAAAATTTCTTCAAATGTTTACTTGAATTGATTTAATAAAATAAGATTGTGGTAGATCATGCTTTTCTGTTGAGGAAATTCTTATATAGTTATAACCTAAATACCAATTTCATTTGAACTTTACTGAAAACAAAAAAATATTGTTTGTTTTAGTATAGTTTCTATTGAAGAAATCCATGTTTACATTGAAATAATTTTATAAACTCTTTTTTCTTTCTTACTTTTTCATGTCTTTAAATTGTACTTATTTTTCTAAAGAAGAATAACTGTGAACAGAACATTCATTGATATAATGATGCTATGATTTATTCCAATTTTCTTTAGAATAACTCAGAAAAATAGGCTTATTGCCTTTTCTTTTGCTATTTAAACTTTATCTTTTTTGATTTCCTAGGAGTGCTTCAATCAGGTGAATTAGAAGATTTGAAGTCAAGTGAGAGAGGAAAATCAGGAAAAAAAAGCCAAAGAGATATTAATTTGATAAATTAAAAGAAAGAACATTACCACGATACTCTTGATTTTCTTTAGTATGTGCTTTAGAGTCAGCAAAATGTGCAGCCAATGCTACTACAATATGAACTCCTCTGTGACAAATATAATTAATTTGAATTAATGTACATTTGGATCAATGTTTGTCCCAACAAAATCCAAATGCAAGTTAGAATATCCTTTTATAAAATGTAATGATATATAACTTACCTGAATTGAGAATTTTAGCACACAGTCATTTGTTTACCATTGTTTTTATTTTTTTTTATTTAAAACTCTTTCCATTTCCCAAAAGTGAAGGGTCATGGATATGACATACAACTGTATTATCAGAGTACCTCCAAATTTTTCTTACAGACAAATAAGAATACAGTTGACAGACTTTTTAAAACTATAGTTTACAATACATGCATAGGCAATATTATCTGAGAGAAAAAAGAATGGATATATCCTATGACATAGGATGGGGTTCTACAAAGCTTAACTTGAAATGTGGTCTATAGAAATTCATAAAGCCTCTCTTTTACATGTGGTGATTTCAGTGTGAAGATTGGGAACTTTTATCTTTCTCTTATCAGTTGTCCACCAAACTCCTATCAGCTCACTTAGTTAAATGGACTGCTGTCAGCCTTCCCAGTAATCCAATGCCCTGCAGATCCCTCCTGTATATTCAATAGTGCTTAAATTGTGTTGCCCTTATAAATTGTTTTGTGCCCATAAGACTAATAAACACACATTTAATATCTAACAAAACACTTGAAAAATTTACTTCACACTTGAAAGCAGTATATGGTCAAATTTCTGAGCCTCTAGAAAATGGGTCATGCCACCCATTTTCATGCCACCATGTTAACAATCATGTTTTAATAATAAACTTGAAAGTCATAAAAACAAAATTTCTCAAGGTATACGGCAGAAAGATCATGAAATGGCAGAAAATACAAGATTTGAAATGAAGCGTGCACAACATTTTGTATGTAC